AAGATTATTAATTTTAACCATTTTAGAATGGAAGATATGGTCATTTGTTCTGGGAATGTCATTTTCGAGCCTGAGACCTGAAAACAGGCTCAGGGCTAAACTGTTAAGCAATTGTTTGCTTAAAACATCTCAGATGCCCCCCCGAGTGTTTAAAAAAAGTAACCAATTATTGCAGGTTTAAGATCATTTACCATAACGATAAAGAAAAAAGATAACCCAGAATATTTTTTCCAAAGAAAAACAATTGTTCAGCAGTTACAATACGAAACAGGAATGAGTGCAAATGTAGGCCTAACAAAAAATTGATATCAAATATTATCAATAAAAATGTGCACAATGGCAGAAATATAAACTGGATAACTTCGAAGTGCAAATCCAAAATACAATACCAACAAGTAAAAAGATAACGGTAATCTTATTAAAATCCTGAAACTATATGAGGATATGATGGTAAACATTATAATGTCCACAAACATAATAGCTGAACAACACACAAGCATTGCCATCCCTCTCACTAACCTGCTCTCTGTAATGGTGGGAAAAGAGCTCCACACAGAGTTAAAAGGGTCCTGTACTCTTTTTTTTTTTTTTGCGCTGGGAGGCTGTTTTTGATCAACTATCCCATCTGTGACACAACACAAGCGACTGAGAGGGAAGTGCTGGCACCAGGCGCTGGGCACCGCGGGGCCTCTGGTCTTATCAGCGGCCAGGTCATACGGGCGGGGACACGGTGGGACAGGAGAAGGCAGACTGAGTGGAAGAGGGAGGGGGAGGAGAGGGGATTGTGGGACTGCTCCGTACCCGCCGGTGTGGGTTTGTTCTCCCGGGGGACCCCTGGTGTGCTGGACAGGCATGCAGAGGGCAGATAACCATGCCAGAGGATGAATAGATGTGAGAACAAAATGAAATAAGAACAACAACAAAGGCTAGTGATACTGTATCTAACAAACACGTTGAAAAATGTTTTGCTCTTTGTTTTTTTGGACTGGTTTTTTACACTGACGCCTTGTTCAAAACATGTCCATCAACTCTTCAGAATTGTAAAGCTGAGTGCACATTTCTTTGAAAACTAAAAATGTAATTGAAAGAAATCTATAAATATTTAGGCCTTCAATTGTACAGGCCCATTTGTATTTTGCCACAAAAATGCTTTTGCAAGTTTGTATGTAAATGGCTCGTGGGTGTTTGCAGCGTACATATTTTACTGGCACAACCTGGTTCTCTTCTGGTCTCACTCTTTATTTTCCAGCCTTTTCTCAGAGTGCCTGCAATTCCTCAGGTTGCTGCAACAGTGGAAGACAGGCCCATTGGGAGCCACCACTGTAATGCTAAACTGAGCCGTTTACCACCATGTCTCTGGTGCCAGCAGGCCTGCCTCGCTTAAAAAACACACTCTCCAAAATATCCTTTCCAGAGCTCAGCATGCTCGATGCTAAAATGCACCAGCCACCTTATTCAATTAAAACTTTGTTAGCAGCCATTTGAGCAGTAATTACCTTGAT